CAAATTTATCGGTCTAGACGGTTTTGCATGCGGTTTTCGATTTTGATCGGGTTTTTTTTTGCAGTTTTGCGGTTTCTAAGAGATCCCAATGCCCCTCTCTTTAACCGATCAAGCTTCATGTCAACGGATGATGCTAAGCTAATACTAACACTGTCAGATTTCAACCTATCGGATGTATTATTTAAAAATGTATTGCATCCAACGTTTTTATTCTGGAATGAATTGCGTTTCCTTTTTCATATCGATTTTTTTAAACAAATGGGACGACTTAGTTGCTGAAACCAGAGGCTCCGAGAGCGTTTACTCGCAAATTTTGGTACCATCAAGCGTGACGCAAAAACCCCGTGCCACCCTATTGTAATTGTTGCTTTAGTAGCCTGACTTGTCGATGGTTTTGTGTGTATGGACAAGTTGCGCACTAAACAGAGCCGTGAAAACGAGTGACCGTTCCACGAGAGGTTTGAAGCTCTTCTGCTCGCTCTCTCGGCTTTAATGCCTTAATAAAGTTGGAAAGTCTGGCTATACACTATTCCTCCCCACCCCTATTAAATCCATTCTGTGGCGTCCAGAAAAGTAAGGGAGCTCGTGCAGTCTTTGCAATCAGATTGCATCTGGCTTAAATGTTGAAATGAGAAGAATGAGCTAGCATAAAAAACTGGTTTGGAAGGTGAACTATTCTACTTCTATCGTTAAAACTTAGCGACAGTCCAAGCTAGCTAGGGGCTAAAAAAATCGAAAGAGGCGGATCCTTCCTCTCTGCATTATCGGGTAAATCCCTCGACGTGAATGTAGAATTTTGCACGATCTTAGCTCCGTGTGAAATATGTCAAGATAGATCTTGAAGGACGACGTAAAAAAAAAAACATCGAATAAATGTTTTCTTTGATTCGATGGGATGTAATGTTATCCAAGGTAAGTAAAAGAACAGAAGTCTGGGTTGCTATTCGCTGTAACCTGTTTAGATTTCGGTTAGATCTGTTGAGTCTGTTTTGTCTTAAATTCCGTGACCTATGGTTAAATTTCGCATCAATTCTAGTTAATGTTGATAAGCCCAGGCAGAAAGAGAATAAGATTATGAAGAAAGGTTGCCCAGAAGATAACTTAACACTAATCAGCGAATGTTCTCATTTTGGCTCCAAAAATATGAGGTTTTGCCAACTATAATTCAGAATTTCCGCCACTGTGCGGAAGTTACTTCATAGGATCGGAAATGTATTCATCCATTCGCTCAAATCAGGCAATCACTCAAAATATTCTGACAATCACTGGTATTCTTGAATTGCTATGATGAAATCGAGTGGTACTAACCTGTATGTATTTCTTGATAAGTCCTTGGTAAGATGGATAAGCTTGTACACCCCTCTCAGTTCAAGCCTTGTGATTAGGAGCTGTGGTTGGCCGGATCACACGATAAAAAATAAAACAAATAAATCTTTTTGAGACTTGGAAACAAAAATTTAACCCCTCATACCCTCACCTCACCCCAAACTGTTCTCTAATTTCCATTTCACACCGTCAGCCAACATGCCAACACTCCAAATATATGTCACGAAGGCCTAATCGAGAGGGGAGTTACTACTTCACCGGCGACGAGCGGGGCAAGAAAAATGGACCGAGATATGAGTGGTCAGCGGTGAAATAGCTTTAATACATCATGCAGAGACAAATCATTTCTAGTTGTTGTATTAACTAATCGTGATATCAATCCCGAAATGTTAGCAATAAACTTCACTAAATAACAAGTTAAGCAATTTTTCAAAAGCGTCGAATGTACAAATATCTTTCACTGCTCTAATAAGCAACGAAGGCATCGGAAAAGGTATCAAAAAATGATATTTTTGTCTGCTAACTTGCCACGCGACGAAAAGAAAGTATCGTGACTTCGGTTGTCCAAAGCGTTAATCACAGCTGGCATGCTTTTCACTTGATTTTTGCAATCTCTACTTTTTTCCCGGCGGGAATTGAAAGCTATGGAACTCTACAGAAATTGAGTTCTCGATCTGAGTGATTTTTGAATCGCTCCGAAAAACTCCACAACCCGTAAGAATGAATCTCCCCATTCGGATTGGCTTGGCTGGGTGCGATAACTGTGGCCAGTTTTTCCACGCAAATTGTCTGAATGTGCCTTTCGCAGAGACGCTTACACAACATTTCACCTGCCATTAGGGCACTAGTCCAAAATCGTAACGTAATGGAGCCAATTTGAAGAACATCCCAGAATTCAAAATTTTTTATTTTTTTTCGATTCGAACGTTTAGTTTTCATCCCGACTGCATCTGTTAAAGTGAATAGAAAGAAAAATTTTGAACGGAAAATATAATTATTTTCACATACGGTTGTTTTGAGAAAAGGTCTCCGAAAACGAGTGGCCTTAATTAGAAAGATTGGAGGGATGGTGAACACATTTGCCTTAATTTGGCTGTTTCTTGAAGCTCTGAGTTTTCCTCCTTGCATATATTCACATGGAATGGAGGCGATTGTTCATATATGATGAAGTAAGAGAACTTCAGCGAGTAGAATTTCTATGAAAGATTTTCATCTTAGCCTGTGGATACAAACTTATAAAAGACTCAAAATCTTTCAGATCGAGAACTCAATTTTTGTAGAGTTTCCTAGTTTTCATTTCTCGGAAGAAAAGTAGAGATTGCAAAAATCAAGTGAAAAGCATGCCATGCAGCTGTGATTAACCCCTTGGACAACCGAAGTCACGATACTTTATTTTCGTCGCATAGCAAGTTACCAAACAAATATCATTTTTTTTATGCCTTTTCCGATGCCTTCGTTGCTTATTAGACCAGTGAAGGATATTTGTATAGTCGACGCTTTTGAAAAATTGCTTAACTTGTTATTTAGCTAGAGCGAAGTTTATTGTTGACATTTCGGGATTGATATCACGATCAGTCAATACAACAACTACAAATGATTTGTCTCTACATGATTTATTAAAGCTATTTTACCGCTGACCACTCATATCTCGGACCATTTTTCTTGCCCCGCTCGTCGCCCGCGATGTAGTAACGTAAAAAATCGAGAGTGGCCTTATTCCCCAGCCGGGAGAAAGCGCGTTGCGTGACAAGACCAAACAACGGCTGCAGGGAGACCAAGTCGGGAGTAGGCAAAAAAAAACATCTTGCGATTGCATAGGTCTTTGATTTATCGAGTGAAGCAGTGATTTGGATACTCTTGCGAAATTTCAGCTTTTAGGTGTGTTAAAATGATTTTGTTATTTTTAAAACATCGTTTCTTTTGTTGATCGTTGTTTCACGCTCATCTGATTGTTTCCTAAGAAAGGTTACTATAAAAGACAAGAATATTCCCATAATTCATCAACAAGGTGTGATTATTATCATTTTTTTATTATTATAATTATTATTATTATTATTTGTGATGACTAGCTTTTACAAAACTTGAAGCCGCTGTGCTATCATCTTTGTAAGTAAATAGATGAATATGTAAGCAAGCAAATAAGCAAGTAGGCAAATGAGAAAGAAATTGTGTGACTTTTGGGAAGCCAAGCAAGCGAATGAGTTGACACCGAAAACCCCACGGGATTAACTTGAACTCTTTCAATCGATTTTTACATTCAACACATTAAAAAACTGCACGTCTTAATTTATATGCATCATCGTTGGATTGAAAACCGCCTTACTAGTTTCTAAATTCGGGAGCTCACACCACCGGAATCGCTGTGATTGTCTGATGTTTTGCACGAACTGTTGAAATAATGAAAGCTCATTAAAAGGCCGAAGAATAAAGAGGGAACGTTTTTAAAGAAAATGTGGTGCTACGTCGGTTAGGAGTAGAACAAGATTGTTTTGTTTTATCAACTGAGTTGATAATATAAATTGGCCACCATAAAGAGTTTTTTAAAGCTGGCGTTTCGAGCGTTAGCTCTTGGTCAGAGCAAACAAAGGAATTGGGGGTTGTGTGTGTTAATCTGCAGAAAATGGAGCTAGCTATGCCATTGGTGGGAACATGGCAACGAGAAAAAGAAGAACGAATTAGTTGAATGAAAAGAGTCTATTAATACCGTGGGTAAAGAGCGCCGATTTGAAAGATGAATTTTTGTTGTAGGGTTTTGCGGCTTTTAGAATTGACTAGAGGTAAGGAAAGACCTTAGAGTTCCATGTGCTATATGCTTAGAGTGATTAGGGTGATTTAAGCGTCTACCTACTCAGGTTGGTTTTGATGCATCCTTGTCATTTCTTTCTATGTCGAGGTGTTCTCGGAATCGGTCATCTACCCGTCTTCCTTGTGTATATCTTTCTGCAATAAGTGCATGTTATTCAATTTTGGCGGAGGTGCAAGTGAAATGATCTTTTATCTTAATGGATCGCTTAGATCTCATTATTTTCTCGACGTCGTGAATGAAAAAACTAGTTTTGCATCGTGTGGCCGCGCGTTTGTGTTGAAAGTTCCGGGCTGATCATTGAACTTCTGAGACTCTTCTGAACAAAATTAAAGTTGCCCCTGTTGTTTTCGTGTTTGATTGAAGTTAGTCAGTGAAAGTTGAATTGCACCAGCTTCGAGATCGTTTTGAAATAATTTAGAGTTTTGACAAATGATGGGTTTAACTGCCTGATTGTGGCAGGGGCCAAATGAAACGGTTCGATTGGTATTTTCCTTCTGTGACATTCGTAGAAACTGAGAAAAAGGAATGGAATTTTTGACATCTGATGGATGCGAAGATGAATAAAACAAGATACTATGATCAAAACCCTCTGATTAACTTACTGACTGATTTTCGTTTTCAGAAATTATTTTGCTCACACAGCAGTTGCAACCGCTGAAATACTGTTGAGGAAAAATGATCCTGTGCCTTTTTTAAAAATCTTCAACACTCTTAGACTTCCGCGACAGTGTATCTTTAATTTTAGTCCAGAAAACAAAAATGGGTTGTGAGGTAAATTGTTTTGATATACAAATATATATAAGTGGTAGGTGGTTTGCACGTTACGTCATTGCTGCCATGTTGGTGGACGTAAACAATGGATATGTCATTAGCTTCTTTTGTTCGTCCACCAGCATTTGTTCCCTTTACCATTGTTACCCGTGTCTCTAGAGATTATTTGCAAACCACCTATGGTAGGGTGGGAGAATTTGGCTCGCATAGTCAAAACTTTGCATTCGCAATTTTGGTTATTGTATAGTTTACTAAGGGCTTCAGGGTGAACTGTTAACTTCGTGAGGAAAAGTAGCCAATCAAGATTAAGTTAGTAACTGAGAATGTCGACAACCTAGAGCTGGATAAATAAACTTTTGAACACACGACTCGAGACATACTCTGGCTATTTACATTCCGGTCTTCGGAAATAATACCATATAACCCCAACATTAATTATGCATTCCACTTCTTTGTCTTTCACGACAAAACTTTAAAAACAAAGTCTACTAGTCTGAATGCATAATTAATGTATGGGGTTCTATGGTACTCTTGCCTAGTTTTCTACAAAAACGCTGAACATCTTCATAAACCTACGATTGTGTCGAACGCCTAAAATAGACGGACAAAAATTCTTGGTTTATGCTTCTTTGTTAGCGAAAGAAAACGACTAACTTACCCAGAAAATTCGCCGAATGCGTTCGGTTGGGAAAAGCCGCGATATATGATTCTCATCTACATAAAAGAATGCTTTGTTAGCGTCTGCTTTCTTCGAGTGTTATGCCTGGCATAATGTTTGAGCGTTTTCTTGCCGTACAAAAATGTAAGATTTATTAATCAACGATTTAAAACTTAGACTTCAGTTATGGCATGAATCGTTCACACATTCATTTTAGTTAGATTGTTTTCCTAGAAATGGTTCACTGCGTATCATCCGTGAATGAAGGGATCCGAACAAAGGCCTCGTGATTTTTTTTTTCAATTCAATAGGGATTGAAAAAAGAAACCAAATTAAGTTTCCAGAAATTTTCACCGAGATAATTTTAACTGATTCTTAGGTACTCTTCTATTTATCTTCCTAATGTCGTATTTTGCCCTCCGGTTTTCTCGACCAACGCGAAGTGCGAAGTTAGCGCGACAGACGCGATAATATTGTTCACGATCCATGTATACATATAAATACTCGGAGCGTCTTACGCTGTTCCATGAGGAGGCAGCAATTTCCTATTTTGATGATAAACCGTTTGGAATAACTCTTGCATTGTTTAATACGGTCATGTGATTGGACAACTTTTCTTCGCGAGAAATATTCACCTCGAAGATGATGCAAGTTGGGGCCTGTTTATGTGAATGTAAACAACATTTCCGTCATTGATATTCCACAAATTTAACCCTTTTCACACCTATCNCATGTCCCCACGTATCCGGAAATTTTTTTCCGCAAATATTTTTTTGCGGATATGAAAATTTTCGCGTCCACACGCAGCGTATTCGAATCGTTTTTAAGCCGTCCACACGTATCCGATTGTATCCGGAAATTTTCTGATTTGCTCTAGTGCCCAGTTCTTTTGCCGGAGGGAATCCTGAAATGAGCATGCGCATAATTGCGATTTTGGCGCCATTTCTTTCACGCCATAGCTACTGCGAGGTGTAATCAGCCGAATCTTGTAGTTTATCACT